TTTCAAATAAAATTCTTTCAGGGTTGGATTTGAAGGAGACACTTTCAAATAATATTGGAGAAATTCATCGTATATTACCATGTGATAGAATATTCATTACTTCATGTGAAAAATCTGATTTTAAAAACCATACAATGATTGCTATTTCTGAAGACTCAACGAGTAAGATGTCGATAGATATACCATTTATTGAACAGGCAGTTTCTAATTCTCAATTTTCAGATAATAATTTTGAAATAGATATCTGTTCTGATGTATACTGTGCTGATACTTGTAAACAAGTATCTATGTTATCTGTAAAAATAAAAACGGAAAATAGTTATTGGGGATGGATAAAGGCACATCGACCACCGAATTCTGTTTGGTTCAATTCGGAAATAGAGTTATTACAGCAGATCTCCAATCAAATAAGCATAGCTATTACTAATGCAAACTTGTTAAAAGAGAATTTAGAAAAAGAAATACAGATAAAAGCTGCAGAAGTTGCAAATAAGGTCAAAAATCGAATATTAGCAAATACTTCTCATGGTATGAGATATTATTGTCATTACAAATTTTTCATCAAAATAACTGATTTTAATGCTTTTATTTTCAGAGTTACGAACACCGTTAGGAGCATTAGTGGGCATTCTTTCTTCTTTTGATGATACCGCTATAAGTGAAGATCAAAAAGACCTGATTAAAATTATGGCACGCGCTTCAGATGTTGTATTGTCTACAATTAATAATATTCTTGATGCAGCAAGATTGGAAGCAAATAAAATCATGTTAATAAATAATACTTTCGATTTATTGGGGTTATTTGAAGACACGATTGAGATGTTTGGAGAAAGAGCTGGTACTAAACAAATTGAGTTAATCTTGAGTTGTGAGGTGGATAAGTTGCCAAAATATGTAAAGAGTGACCCTAATAGGTGATTGGATCAGCCTATTTTTGTAAAAAGATGTGCAGAAAATAGATTACATATTTACTTTTAATTCCTGCTTATCTTATAGGTTAAAACAAGTTCTGTCTCATTTATTGTCAAACTCGTAATTATGTCTAAAATTTTTATCGGTTATTGCCATTTATTATCAATATACAGTGATTGATTCTTGATTTCTTTAATTAGAATTAAATTTACTGAAAAAGGAGAGATCGTAATGAAAATTTCATTACAATCGCAGGAAGTCACTGAGGGGCCAATTAAAAAGGCTAATCTATTGATTGAAATAAGTGATACTGGAATTGGGTAAGTAAATCATAATTAGATAATTGCTATTTTATATATACCAGTTGTTAATTTTAATGTTAATTTAATGGGTAGTATTGGCCCCGAATTTATGCAACATGTTTGGGAGAGTTTTTCGCAAGGTGATAAGTCAATAAACAGGAAACAACAAGGCACAGGACTTGGTCTTTTAATCTGTAAAAAACTAGTAGAAATTAATGGTGGTGAAATTAAAGCAGAAAGTCAGTTGGAAAAAGGAAGTAAATTTTGGTTTACTTGGAATGTCGAATTATTATTACCTGAAATTTCAGAGTTCCAAAATGCTTCGATTAAGATATTATTTGATGAACAAATAAGTTATGTTTTACCATATGCTGTGAGATTAAACCGGTTGTTAATAGTTCACCCTGTCAAAAGTGTAAGAAATGCAATGGTAAAATTTCTTGAAAAGTCTGAAAAGGTTGACGCGTTTGATACCTTTGATAAAGCTATTCAGGAAGCAAAAAGTTATAAACAACTGTATAAACGAACCTATGATGTAGTATTCATCAGTCTTTATGAAAAAAATGAAAATGAGGTCATAAAAGCCGTGTCAGAATTAAAAGAAGTAGAAAAGAATAATTTATCAATAATCCTGATATCATTTCCAAGTAATACAGGAAAAGCGTTGGCAGAAAAATTAGTTAGAAAAATTGGTGGTCAAGCTACTATCATTTATACACCGATTACATGGAACAAACTAGTTAATCAATTTTCGCATATAATGAATAACAAAGTCTTCGATAGTAATCGTAATATTGAGAACTTGTCTGTAAGTAATCATAACGATAACAATACAAATAAAGAAGTTGCAGATTATGGTCAAGATAACCATGAACGCATAACTTCTGAGAACGTATTGATGTCAAGATGCAAATACATTTTCTATGTGATATATTTTTGCATATTTTTTATTTCTTTTCGAATTATAAATGTCTTTTTACATTATTTGACAACTTATAAACATTTAATCTTTACTTAGGCTTTTTGAAATTACAGTTTCATTTAACGTTCTCCCCCTAAATTCAGAAAGCCAATCAGAACGTCCATCACGTCATTTCGATAAGTCGCAGTCGTGAATCAACCAATAATAATAGGATTATTTTTTGTAATATAATTTAGCGTTCGTTTAAATTGACCTTCACTTCAAAAAGGAATGTTAAGCGAAATTATAACTTCAAGCAGCCTTAATATCAAAATAATTAAATTGTATTAAATTTTATTATAATGTTTATGTATTGACAGATTTAACTATTAAATATTTGTAGATATTAGTCATTTACATCTAATAATTCTAATAATTGTATGCTTAAACGTTTTAAAACAAAAAAAAATTGTTTATTTTTATTTGATAAATAAAATATGTTAATATAATTAGGAAATAATGTTTTTTATATCCTTGCAATTTACAATTTTTAACAAAGATATCTTGATAATTATACAATTTTTTTTTCAACTTAGGCAGTTCCGTCGGCGACTTTTATTAAAATTATTAATATAGCTAAATGTATAAATATTGATTTAATTTGCAAGATAATTATACAATTAAATTAAAGATTTTTTTATTTTTATAAACATTTTATAATGTTTTTTTTATTGCGATATTTGAGATAGCAGATAATTTTTATCTATTAAATAAAAGTTTGGATTATTTACAAGAAAATATAACAAAGAAATACAAATACAACAATTAAAAGAATGACTTGAATTTAATTTAGGTTTAACTTAGCTATTTTAAATAAACTGAATTAACCAAACCAAATTAATTTGAATTTAAATAATAACTAGTGACTAATATAGTATACTCTTTTTAATTAGTTTTGTTTATTAATATTATTAATAAACTAGATTTGAGAAAGAATAAAACTCACTCTCGTTATAGTGAACTCTAGATATAGTGAGGATTCGACATAGTGGAGTTTTGAATTACGGAATTATTAAACTTTAACTCGATATTGTGAAATATATATACTGTAATATTTTCTCGATATAAGATATAGTGAAGTTTTTCAGCCTGACGACTTCATTATAACGAGAGTGAGTCGTTTGGGTGTGCGCAATTCTAAGCATGTAAGAAACTCGTATCCGATAGATTCCGAAATGATTGTTACACAAACTATTTATATGGGCAATTGAAAATTTGATATACGATTGCAGTCTAAAAACCGGCAACTTCACCATCCGTTTAACCATAATAAGTTAAACTCAAGGTACCCCATTTATAAGTAAAATTTCTTCGTTTTGAGTATTTCTAGCAGAAAATCTTTTCCAATCGTATTCAATCGCTTTCCCCAGAAAGTTTTCATAAGAACAAAGGTAGGGCGTTTGGTAATTGGCTAAGTTTATTGAGTTTCTACTACGTTTAAATTATGAAGCC